TCTCTCTCTCTCTCTCTATATATATATATATATATAATTTAAATTGATGAGAGTAACATCCAAAATCATCATATTTTGAATTTACATCTACTTCACATTGTACCCGCTAAAGAAATTATATTCAAGAAGAGTGTTTTCAAAGTAAAATTTTAGGACAACCATCGATACTACTAAAACAATATTAATAGTAAAGATAAGGAAAAGAGTAACAAAGATCATCTTTCAATCAAAGGCGATCAGAAAATTTTTTCAACCATTAATCAAATACATATTTTTTTTAAATATGCAGATTTAACGCATGCATTAGCTTCATATGAGACTTTATTCGGTACAACAACAACGAGAACTTATAGCACATGATCCATATTTAAATCCTCGACCTTTGCAGTCAAACATGCAATCTTCCTGTGTAAACTCATCTGTGCATTTCTTAAAGCAAAATTCCCTACCTCCATCATTTGTAGATGCACCTATCATGCATTGAAAAAAAATTGATTTACAATTTTTTAGAAGGTAAATAAATTAACATGAAAAAAAAAGAATATAAATATAAGTTTGTTATGTGATTTACCAAGAGGATTTGATGCAATTGAAAATGGAACAATTAAGAGAAAGAAAACAATCAAAAACTTGAAAAACTCCATTTGAGGCTTATATTCTTCTTGATTGATATATGCTTAGAGTATACTGACTTGGTATCAAAATAGAAAATAAAGTAGTTGCTTATATAGGGATGATTCTTTTGTACAGATAAAATGGCATTTAATATTTTGGGAGGGGAAAATTTAAGATTCATTGATTTGCAATTAATGAACGGCTTAATATTAATTATTTAGTCTCTATTATTAAATTTATTTTTCTTCAATCTTAATCATGTATTTGATTTTCTTATTTTGTAATTATGCAATGCGTTTGAATGTTTAAACTCTATGCCAGGTCCAAATATCATTAAAATATCTATTTAAGAATTTCTTCAAAGCGATAGCTTATGACAGAGCTAGAAATTTTATTAAGGATATCCAAAAATAATGGTGTTAGTGAAATTCAAATAATTTTCAGGCTATTTTAAGTAATTTCTGTCGTTTTTTTATAGTATTTGAAAGGTTATTTCATATCATTATATGCATAGTTAGTATATTTTATAAATATTTGAAAAACTATATCAATGTTATAAAATCAAGCTCATAAGAGATATAATTATAAAGAGAAGAAGAGAAGAGATGTAGATAGAAGAAGAGGAATTTTCTTCTTATTCAAGTGTATTCAAGTCTCATATGTCTATATTACAATAGTGAATGAACAACTCTA